GATTTTCTGGCTGTCACTAAGAAGAAAGGACGGTCAAGATTGGTTAAGTCGTGCTCACGGCACGCACGCCATGGCTCATCAAGAAGGTAATTCGCTCTCTCAGTTGAAGTTTAGAGACGATCCATTGTCGGCAGGCCCGAAATGGAAGAAATGGAAGCGATCTTTTCAGATCTGGATGTTTGGAAGACAAGAATTAGCAAACAACTCATTGCTGAAAAGAGCGAGGTTATTGGAGAAGGCTGGGCCGGAGGTCCAGGATGTCTTCTTCAATGTGGTGGGTGATATTGATATTACCCAGCAACCAGTGCTAGTACCCGGAGCTGCCGCTCAACCTGATCCATACGAGCAAGCCATAGCAATTTTGGACGAATTTTTTCTGCCAAGATCAAATGAGCCATATGAAACAGAGGTGTTTCGGGGAATGACAATGATACCCAACGAGCCTGTAGATGCCTTTGTATCAAGACTTCGAGAGCAGGCTGCAAGGTGTAACTTCAGTGATGTGGACCGTGAAATTAGGGATCAACTGTTGAAAGCTGTGCCATGGGCGGAAGTTAGAAAAGACTGTTATAAATTGGCGCTGCAACGCCCATTGACTCTAGTCGATGTACAGCAGGAAGCTCGACTGCACCAGAAGGTGCAGCAAGAACAGGCTGCTTTGGCAAGTGCCACAGAGGCAGTTAATAGACTCCAAGTGTCATCTAAGAAGAAGCAACCAAACAATAAAGGTAACTCATGCTACCGTTGTGGAGAAAAAGGGCACTATGCCAAAGATAGATCTTGTCCAGCTTGGGGCAAAACTTGCGAATCCTGTGGGGTGCGGAATCATATGGCTACAGTTTGTAGAAATGCCAATAAAGACAATGAGAAGAAAAAGAAGAAAGGGAAAAAGAAGGAAAGAGTGCAACATTTACAAGAGGATTCTGAAGGCTCCAGTTCGGAAGACAGTGATGATGATGAAGAAGGGGGCGAGTACAACTACCTTTTTTTGGTGGCCAGCATGGAAGAGGAAGACGAGTTAGTGACAGTGAAAGTAGGAGGTGTTGATTTGGACATGTTGGTAGATTCCGGGAGCAAGAAAACAAATTGCATTCCAGTCAAAACTTGGGAAGATTTGAAGAGAAAAGGTATTGTTTGTACAAGCCAGAAGAAAGAAGACCGTTCAGTATTTAACTATGGAGGGGAAGACCCTCTCAAAGTAAAGGGACATTTTGTGGCGTCTATTCAAACAAAAGCTGGTAAAGTGCTAGAGAATGTATTATTCAAAGTAATGGATGTGAAGCAACATGCAGTGCCAATAATGTCGAAGATAGTAGCTACAAAATTAGGGTTCTTAAAAATAGATCCTGAAGGAAAGTTATGCCAAATTGAAGAGGTGAAGAAAGAAGATCTGAATGGCGATACAGAGAAGACTCAAGATCCAAAGAAGACTGAAGACCCAAAGACTCAGAAGACTGAAAAGAAACCAGTATTAGAACAAGTGGTCACCAAAGAGAAAATTAGGTTAGGTTTCCCAGGTGTGTTTACAAACATACTGGGAAGATTCAATAAATACCAAGTGTCAATACATGCAGATGACACTATTAAACCTGTTGTGTGTAGGGAACCAAGATTACCACTAAGCAGGCGTAAGGCATTAGAAGCTTGTGTTGAGGAAATGCAAAAGGATGGTGTTGTGGAAGTTGCTACAGGCCCTACCACTTGGGTTAGTAGGCCTCACCTTGTGCCCAAAAAGAAATCTGGGTGGAGAATGGTGGTGGACATGAGAAATGTGAATGCAGCATTACTGAGGGAGAGATACCCAATTCCTACTAGAGAAGAAATGCTTTGCAAGATATCAGGGAGCAAGTGGTTTTCATCATTAGATTTCAAATGGTGTTATCTACAGTTTGAATTGAAAGAAGATGTCCGAAATTTGACTACATTTGTCACACATTTTGGCATGTTTAGATTTAAAAGGATGGCTTTTGGGTTAAGTATTGCTGCTGAGGTGTGTCAGCGAGCAATGGAAGATCTGAAGAAAGAAGCATTGAGAAACATCCCAGCAGAAGTGAAAGAAGAACTGAGGAAGGTGTTGGAGGAAAATAATATGTGTATGGAAGACTGCATAATTATTTTCATTGATGATTGGCTTGTTCATGCTCCCACTGCCTGGGCGCATAATAGGCTGCTACATGCTGTGATTAAAACCATACAGAACGGGGGGATGACATTAAATTTTGAGAAATGTATCTTCGGAGCAAGCAGTGTGGACTTTGTGGGATGCAAGATTTCCCAGAATGGATATCAGCCATTGGAAGATAGTGTTAGTGTGGTGAAGAATTTCAGGCAGCCCACCAGTAAGTCAGAGGTGCATAGTTTTTGTGGGTTAGCCACCTACTTCTCTATTTATGTGCCTGAGTTTGCCAAGATTATTGCCCCATTGAGAAAGCTATTGAAATCGGGGGCACACTTTGTGTGGGGTCAAGAACAAGAAGAGGCCTTTCAGAAAGTGAAGGAGTTGATTATAACTGCACCTGTGTTGGGGTTTTTCAAGAAGAATGCCCCTACTTATGTTTTTGCTGATGCTTCACCAGTGGCCTTGGGAGCCCTAATTGTTCAAATCCAGGATGGACAACCAAAAGTGATCCGATATGCTGG